AACCACTGCATGAAAAATTGGATAACCAATATGCCAATAACTTATTCGGTTGGCAAAATTTATTATTACTATTGGCGGGCAAATTCCATCATTTCCATATCTCTTAAGACAATGCTTTATTTATCTATATGAAATGATTCCCGATTATGTTTAGCCTCTATAAAATTACCTAGTGTAGACCACTCCGTTAGGGAGTTAACACTATTGATTTTAGATTGAGTGTATAATGTTATTAATGCTCCAACGAAAAATAAAATATTAAATATCTTGTCATTATAATCTAGACTCTTTAAATCATGCGTTGGGACTTATTTTTAAAGATCTAATTATAATGAATATTTAATATTTTCATTTTCATGAGACAACCATTCTTGTAATTTTTAGACTCTTCAAATCATGCGTGGGGCTTTATTTTTTAAAATCTAATTACAATGGTTATAATAATGAAGGCCATAGGATAATGTATAAAAATCCCCACTCCCACTCAATTTTTAATCATCTATAATTAGGATTTTCAATTCATGATTTAATGCATGCAAAATGCCTTAATTTTAATCCAATTAAATTTAGAAATTATCTAGACTTTTAAATAATTCACTAATATTTAATTTGAGGCACACTTTAAAAAAAATTTACAAAAATAATTTTTTATTTCCCAATAAGTGCCCTCTAATTAATTAGTAATCAAATCCAATTAATTTTCATAATTTAATTAACATAAATCAAGTTATTTAGATAAAAATTATGGATCAAATGCATGAACAATAATAATCAGCAATTAATTATTCCATACATCATATAAATAATTAAACAATAGATAAAAGCAAATAAAATGGCCAATGGAATCGGCTTTTAACGTTAAGATACTATTCTTGTTATACAGGCGTCCACCAACAGCTTGTTAACACCTGTAGAGAGCTGGTACGCGCCTGGAGAAGCAAAACAACGGCTGCAACGCGTCTGGAGGACTTTGCACGAGCTGGCACCTGCCTAGAGGAACTGCAGTGCGTCCCCACGTGCTGGCACGCACTCGGGGAGTGTGCAGCGCGTCCACACGCCGGAGAAGTCATTTGGCGCCTGGCACGCGCTACCACGTGCCATGTGGTGTTGACTTAGCACTGGCGTGTGGTCCTCACGCGCCAGATCACTGGCGGCGCATGATTGCACCGCATGTACGCCGCACTTGATTGCCTCTCTTGCCTGATCTTGATCCTACGGCTGCTGCATGCAGCTGCACCTAATTTTGGTGCATCGTGAACCACTGGAGTGTCCGTCTTCCCTTCCGGCGCCTCCCTCGCCCCTGGCGACGCTCCGGTCGCCGATAATTCCAAAAAAAATAAAAATAATTCCAAAATATTAAATTAAGTCCAAAAAATTTTAGAAAAATTCTAAAAAATTTCGAAAAAATTCCAGAAAATTACTGAAGCCTAATTTAACCCTTTTGGACCTTTTCCTTTGATGAAGATTACATGGCTTTAAAAAAAAATTTACACCTGAAATACAATAGAAAAAAATTAAATTACATCATTAAATTTTCAAATGACTAAATCAAAGCCTTAAATACATTCATTTAAAGATAAAATTACATTAAACCTATAAGCTTCATCCATAGTCCAAGACATACATCATCATCCATTCACAATTATACATACATCATCACATGTATCAATATATATCAACATATTATAAATCATACATTAATAAATATATCTATATATATATATGTATATATAATTTGGATCCATGAATGATGATTTTCATAAAAATATGATCTTTAGTAATGAATCAAACCATACTCTGAAACCACTGTTAGGAAACGTTCAAGTTTTAAAAACTTTTTGAGTAATTTTCATAAATTGATCTTGATTCATCACATAAAAACAAGTTTTATGCAAAAATAAAATATGATGTATCATTCAATTAATAGATTGAATACTTACATCAAGGTTTGAGTAAACCTTAGATCTCTCCTCTAAAGTAATGTTCTCACTTATTGCAGATCCTTTTGCTAGATGCCTTCTCCTTGGATCTCCATTTTCTTAGTAATGGTTTTGCCTTTAGGAATCACTCATAAGCCTCCATGAATGATCTTGAAAAACTAGGCTTGTGAGAGTCTCCATTAGATGAGAACACTAACCCTAAAATTCTGAAAAGAGAAAATATTCATTTTTCTTTCAAAAGTCACACATAAAATATACATGGACCATGCATATATAGATAACATAAAGATAAGGAAAGGAAACAATAAATCCTTCTCAATCTTTAATTACCATATCTTAAATCTAATAGGATTCTAATATCAAGTTGGGTTATGAGTGAGAATCCTTTGGGCTTATTATTTTCTTAGCTACAATGAATTAATAATTGGTCCGATCCATGGACCCGATTCAATTAATTCATAAATTAATTTCTACTCTATTAAAAGAAATTAATTGAACTCCAATTAAATAATAAATAACATTTAAGTCAATGTTGCACTTTGACCCCTCTATGCATAATTACCCAAAGTACCGGTCTAAGGATTCCAAATATTCTGCCGAACAAATCAAAGTAATTACTAACTAATAAAAGATTCTATACTTCTTTCATACTTAAGAGTCAAATGCCATGACAGTGATATAGAGCAATTGCATACGACGGCTCTTGCAATATATCTCCACCTAATGCGGATCCAGTTCAAGTCTTAGTTAATAATGAGTCCATCCATAATTGCCGACTATGAACTATTTATAATTACTATTTATATTCATGTATTGATCGCCATCACATACATATATAAATATCTCTTGTAATCAAATGGAACTATTAATTCCATAATGAATCAAAACATAATACATTGAATTTACCAATTGTATAAAGCATAAATATTTCAGATATGTTAGGAACATATGTCACTTTAATCTAAATAAGAATTTGCTATGCCAGGGCATATAAATCCCAACATGTACATAGTTAGAAAGTTTATAATTTTAAGTCCATGTATCCATATTTAATGTAATTAAATTTATTTCGATGTATAATGATGTAATTTATTTTCATTATGATGCAAGAACGTTATCTTATCAATGTGAGCATGCTTATGGATATTTTGGAATAGATTTTAACTATATTAGATGTCACAAGTGAAACCATAAGGTTGCCAACTTATTCAGGCCTTTAAACAGTGAGAAAAACGCATTTATGGCCATTTGGGTCTACCGGTAAGCCATTTCGGTCGACTGGTGTCATTTGGAATAGAAACCAGTAGCTTCAAACACTCCAGAGCCACAATCAGTCGACCGAAGTGTCATTTCGGTCGACCGATGGGTCATTTCGGTAGACCGGTATACCCTTCATGGTTAGCTGAAATAAAACTGGGACAACATTTAACCTTTGACTTTAAATGATCATATCTCACTCATTTTAACTCTAAATTGAGTCAAATTTGAGTCTAAATTTAAGGATTTTAAGTCAGTTTTCCAATGAAATTAATTTCACTCAAAAATTTCAATCATACAGAGAGTTATGACCTTTTTAATGTGGACTATTCTGAAATTCTTTAAAAAATGAAAGGGGCAATTGTGTAAAATCCTCATTCTTATGTCCAGGACCTTATGTCATGGGTTTAAATGAACCTTATGACTTATGTTGGCCTATTTAGACTCATTTAGAGTTATATTATTTATTACTACACCTTAATTGACTGTTTTACCCTTAGATGTTATCGGGTTCGGGTAAAGACCAGGTTAGTGATTCAGACCTACGGGTTCGGGTTGTTACATAACTGTTCCAAATATTTGGAAGAGGAACCGAAACATCGGTTTTGGTTCCGGTTCCTAACGGCTCCATTATTCCTAACCATGCCGAAACGGTGAGTATATAAAGTGAACAATATTACACATATGGACTAATAAAAATGTTATATAATCCTTTTTTAAAAACATTTTTAATTTTTGAGAACCTAGGCAAATGTTGCAATTTAAAAATTAAAAAGGGCAAAATATTGAAAATCCCCCATCGACTTGTAGCCTTTCCAGTAACCCCTTGTCTAATTTTTGACCAAAGAACTCCTTCGACTTATAACCCTTTCTAATAAATCTCATTGTCTAATTTTTTTACCAAAGAATCCCCCTCAACTATCTAAAGGGGGTAAAAGAATTGATATTTGGATCAAAATGCCCTTTTATTTAAATCTTAATTTTTTCAAACTTCAAAAATCATATCTCACAAACCATACATTATAATATTGCGAATAATATATGCACAGAAAGTTTATAAAACAAGAATTCCAGAAATATAAGATTTGTTTAACAAAACTTGATAACCAGAGAGAAATAGATAATCTAAAAATCTATTACAACAATTTGATTTTATAACATATTTGGGTTATTTGCAAAAAATTTTTCAAAATTATTCTTTTTTATATGGAGCATAACATATAAAAAAATTATCTCCAATAGAGACATAATTTTTTTTTTTTTTTAAATGGTGAGTCTATAAAAGAATGAAAATATTTTGACGCAAAATATGATATCTCATTAAATCGATCTCTATTGGGGCTAATTTTTTTATATATTCGGCTCCATATATAAATGAATAATTTTGAATTTTTTTTTGCAAATATCTCGAGTTTTTAAAAATAAAATAAGATTGTTGGAGTAGATTTTTAGATTACCTATTTCTCTTTAGTTATGAAGGTTTGTTGTACAAATCTTATATTTCTGGAATCTTTATTTCATAAGATTTTTGTGCATATATTATTTATAATTTTTAAATACACAGTTTGTGAGATATGAATTTTTAAAGTTCAAAATAATTAAAATTTAAATAAAAGAACATTTTAGTTCAAATAACAATTATTTTACCCTTTTTAAATAGTTGAGGGGGGTTTTTGAAAAAAATTAGATAAGAGAATTTTATTGAAAAAATGTTACAAGTGGAGGCGATTTTTTTGTCAAAAAATAAATAAAGAATTTACTAAAAATACTACAAGTCGAGGGTTTTATGTACGTTGCCCAATTAAAAATAATTGTAGCCGTAAAATAATTCCTTCGTTTCCAACTTATGCAAAGTCATTTTCCAACTCTTCAAGTCGACAAGTGCGCAACGGAACAGGATCCTCTGTAACGATGCCAGTGAGATTTTCTTATTCCTATGATTGTTTCTCCAAAGCCTCCAATCTTCTCCATAATTGAGGTAGTGAAGAGCATCAACTTGATTCATTTTTGAACAACAGTTACGAGGTTTTTGTCTCTATCAAACTGGTTCTCTTATGTATATTGGGCTTTAATTTGATTTTCATACCTATTTTCTTGTTTGGTTTTCGATTTGGCAAAGTTATGCTACAAAATTATGGTTTCTCCATTAAAGTAAACCTTAAAGTGAGCTTCTAAATTGTTAGTTCTTTCTTATCCACCAACTGTTTGACAGAATGTCTAGCAGTCAATCTGTATCTGTTTGTCCCTGTTCGTAGATTTTCGGAGCCTTATTAGTATTTCTTAAAAAACTAAAATAATTTTTGGGAAGAATATTTTCAGGGGGAAACATATGTACTCTCTCTCTATATATATTTGTGCCTGTGAATAATGCCCAATACAACCCTTGGTGATTTTCATTTGATATACTTCCTATAATATAATCTTTTAACTATCTTATCTATTTTTGCGTTACAGAACTATGGCTTCAACCTCAAACCATGAGGGTTCTTCAATGAAAGTGCGAAAAAATTGCAAGAAAGTGGATAGGATCAGCACTTGTTCACATTCTCTCTTTCCTTCCAACAAAATACACAGTCGAACCAGCATCCTGTCATCAAGATGGAAGCATCTTTGGGCTTTTGTTCCCACTTTAAATTTCGACGACAGCTTGATGGACTGTTATTCAGAAAAGCGTTCTTCCAACTTCATGAACTTTGTTGATAGAGTACTTCTCCATCACGATTTGTCCTAAGTTCCGTTTATATTGCGATGGAACCACGGACATTGATTTATCAAGAATATGTACATGGATAAGTGTAGCCATAAAACGCGGTGTTCAAGAACTTGATACACAGATTGAACCATCTGAGCAACATTTTGCCTTACCTTTAAGGCTCTTCACTTGCCCAACATTGATGGTCTTGAAACTGGGAAATGAAGTTAGATTCAGAGTTCCTTGCTCAGCCCATTTCGGAAGTCTCAAGATCCTTCATGTTTCAATTGATTATCTAGACAATGACTTGGCGCAAAATCTCTTTCGTGACTGCCCTGTTCTTGAAGATCTGTTTATGGAAGGAATTGTTTCGAATGATGAAGAACTAATTTTTAACGTCTCCACCCCTGTTCTGAAGAGTTTAAATTAAAACTTGCTGCAGAAGAGTTTTTCATAAATAATGGTGACAAAATTGTGGTCAATGCACCGATTCTTGAGTATCTAAATCTCCAGGATGATTACTTTCTTTGCTATGTGCTACAAAACCTAACCTCGTTGGTTAAAGCATATGTCAATGTCGGATACTGCTGTACAACAACCATGGCAACCAAAAAACATGCTGATAGTTTACTTGTGCTTCTCAGAGAAATTTTTAATGTCAAATATCTCTATCTAGGTGCTTGTACCTTGTGGGTAAGCTTGTATTTGTTTTCTTTGATTTTACTATTACCTCATTACTTTTAAGTTTGTTGGATTTGTTATTTTTAAATTTTGATTTAGTATATAATTATATATAGCACTTTTATTTAACTATAATGTTCATATCTTGTAAGGCTCTCGACTATGCTGATGATAGTAAACTGCATTTGTTCCCTAATTTGATTCGTTTGGAGTTGCATGTTCACAATTGCTACGGCTGGAAAGGTCTACTAGAATTGCTCAATAGCATGCCCAACATGGTGCATCTTGTTTTGAAGAACTTGCAGGTGACTAAGCGCACAAGGAATAATTTGAAGTATGTATGTTGTTCTTGATTCCCGATCTCTTAACTTCTGATTTCTTGCTCCAGAACTGTCGATGTAGTGAAGATAATGCTTCCAAGGATTGCAATTTGGTTGAACAAGAAGTGCCTTGTTGTCTATCGAGGCGTCTTCAAGAAATTGAAATTACTGGATTTCGGGGCCTGAGTGTTGAGCTGAAGCTGATATACTTCTTGAGAATGGCATAGTACTGCAAAAGTTAGCAATTAATTCTTCTCATTCAAAAGAAAAACAAGAGACAAAGTTTCTCAAGGAACTTCTGATGTTTCCTAGAGGCTCGAGAAGCTGTCAAATTTTCCATTCTTAAGAACATTCCTGTCAGGTACCTTAGTTTCATCTCTTCTTTCTGTATTGAAAGACTATGAAGTTTTTTTGTGCTACATTAATTATTGACAAAACACTTTTTTATAAATTTTTTTTGAGTAGTTTGACAGTTTTCTGAAAACTGTTTATTAAAAATATAATTAAAAAAAATATTTTTAGATAATGATATTTATATTTTTCTGAAAACACTTTTTAATTTTTTGAATTTTTGAAAAAACATTATTAGAAAACTAAATCAACAGATCCATAACTTTTCTAGTCTGATTTTCATTCAATGGTTTTGGTTGATGGGGTGATTAGATTTCATTGTTAATCAAAGCCCATTAAGAAAATTTAGTGACCGAAGATGTGACTAGTGAGCTTTTCGACTTATTGTTCAGCCCAAATAAACTTAGCGAAGGAAAAGAAGTATATATATATATATGTCATTGGCACTCACACACTCACACTTGCTCACACAAACTTTTTGCCCACACATGGCTCAGACCCCTCTCCTCCTTCGCTAGAAAGCTAACAGCTAAACTAATAAAAAACTAAAAATATAAAGAAACTATCTAAAATTAAACTTTCTATAAAAATTATAAAAAATCAGTAAATAAGAAATCTAATTAACAAAAATTATTGAATACAACAAAATTGTCCTATGTACATCGTGCATGCCTTTTGACCTCTCAACAGAAAATTAGTGTTGTCCATGCCCTACATACCAAGTATCAATCATCAGGTAATTGCCCAAACTTTTATTTATACATCAAGACCATATGCTTGAGTTATATAATTCATACAAATACTATAGTTTTTGCATACTAATTGCCGTCTTTATTTTTATTTTTTTCGGGAAGGTAATCAATGCACATCTGTGAAATCATTATTTGAATTCTCTTTTTCCATTCTGCTTTGTTGTATCACATTGGTATATAGCGATTGATGATAGTAATGTATAGCGATTGGCCATGACCTCTGTTTGGAGTGAAAATTTGACTGTTATAGAGAGGGATGATAACTATAATTGAGGAATTATGTTGTGTACTTGTTGATAATCTGACCATTTATTTGGTTAATGATTTCTGGATTACGAATTATCTTATTTTATCTTTTGATTGTTTTATGTTTGCTTGATTTGACGAATACAAAATTATCATTTCATACCTTAGATATTTTAATTTTGAACTCATTTTATCCGTATTTCAGCACTACAAAGCCATGCCTTCAATCACAAACAATCAGGTTCCTTTGATCTCAACAACGAAGATAGGATCAGCACATTGCCAGACTTCCTTCTTATTCACATTCTCTCTTTCCTTCCAACAAAATACGCTGTCGAAACCAGCATACTGTCGTCAAGATGGAAGTACCTCTAGGCTTCTGTTCCCAATTTAGAATTCGATTCCAACTTGCATTCAGATATGAGCTCTTCCAACTTCATTGAACGAGTACTTCTCAATCATGATTTGTCTTGCATTCAGAAGTTTCGTTTATCTTATTAAGGCTCTCGACTCTACTGGTGATGGTAAACTTCTTTTGTTCCCTAATTTGATTCGTTTGGAGCTGCATGTTAACAATTGCTATGGCTGGAAACGTATGCTAGACTTGCTCAATAGCATGCCTAACCTTGTACATCTTGTTTTGACGAAATTCTTTTGACAGAAATGCATTTCTTTTGTCCTTTTTGTAATATAAATGACAATCATACAAGAGTCCGCTTGGGATTGCTTATCTACTGCTTAAAAACGTTTTTATTTTAAGAAATTATGAATGTAGTCCAGTAAAGCATTTGAATGAAGCTAGAATTTGAAACTTTTAAAACCGAGGTTGAATATTTTAGGTAAATCTTTTCATTAGTCAGTTATGTCTTTTTTAATTTTTTATAAAGACAATTACACTCATTCCTTAATAAAGTTCTATTATCAACCTCGTATTAAATGATATTACTGTAAAATTACCAATAGAAATGTTTAAAAATATATTTTTACAAAATAAATTAAAAAATAATTTAATTATGAAAAATATTTATTATAATGTGTCACCAAGCACCTAACATATTTTTTTCCTATCATAATTTTTTGACAGCTCTATTGATAAATATTTTTTTTTTTTTTTTTGATATATTCTAACAACAACCTCAAACGGGCTGTTAATCTTAATTTTTCTATTTATGAGTTCCAAACACTATTTTTTTAGCGGAATGCATTTGGTTAAAAAGGGGAGTACAAATATCCACTCCTTTTTAACTCCTTTTTATTGTGACAACTGACAGATGACACTCTCCTTATCTATTTGGGAACTTCAACAATCATCAAAATTCCACTTAAGAAGTTAAGGAGATACGCCCAGTACAAATCTTGATGGTAATAAATTCGAAAATAATGGTTTGTGGTATGAAAAAATGGTCGAATAGGAGTTTATGAGAACAATAGAAAAATAATGACAAGAAAAAAAAATAGGCACACACACAAACGAGATAAGAATTTACGTGGTTCGGATATACCTAAATCCACGGGGAGAAGACAGAACAATATTTCACTATGAAAATAAAGAGATATAAGGCAAAGTGGCTCACACCCAAAACTTAATTACACCCAAACTCTCTCACCCACTAATTGATATTACAAACTCACTCAATTGATTTGGGATAATTAACACTATGAGGGCACGAGCTATTTATAGCCACAATCTGTCACTAAAATACTTGGTCATCAAGTATATACAAAGTCTGTAGCTGACATTTTCCAATCTTGCTGCCCATGCCTACTTGTTGATCACTCACCTTGGTTGGCAAGTTGATGATGAAACAATGGGTGATACAATTGCTGACCTCATTTGAGCCACAAAAATTCAACAAATCTCCACCTTGGCGAAAATTCAAATGAGCCACTGTATCTTTGCTAAACAACCTGTCTTCTCCACAAAACAAATTAATTAAGAATTTTAGTTAAGTTTGAGTCATCCTCAAACTTAACCCTCGGGTTCTCATTCTTCAACTCATGCATGTCTTGCGCAGCCACAAGCATACCTCCAGTATTTGTGTCAAACTCTAAATGCTTTCCAAAAGCAATCTCAGAAATTCCAAGTTTGACATCTCCTTCAACAACCTTCTCCAACCGCCCACAAACCACCGGCTGGTAATGAAAAGTCATCTTCTTACCCTTGTGGAGAACAGGACGTCCTTGACTTTTCCTCGCATCTCTGTTGTGACCAACTACTTGCCTCCCATGCATCTTAATGGCACTCGAATGGACTATCTCATTGCCACTAAGATTATTGCAAGTCAATATCACACCTGTCCTCATGGGTCTGCCTCCCTGTAAGGACTGCTGCAATTTCGATTGCCATCTGAAAATGGATTTCATTCTCTAGGATCGTAACTCCCACCACGTTATGTAGTCCCCTCACAACCCTTTTGAGAACTAGGATCGTAACTCCTCTTTCGAACTCTTCTTTTACCAAGACCCGAACGCAGATTTCTGCTAACTGTAGAAGACCCTGTAGACGCTCCACCTGTTACTGTATTCTCTTGAAGAAGATACAAATTTTCCACCTTGGTACCCTGTAGCACCACAAGAGAATCCATCACGACCATCATTGCTCCACCTTCTGTTACAACCCTGTAACTTTTGGAGTTAAGCACACCTACTGAAATAAGATTCATCTTCAGATCCGGTACATGTCGCACATCTGACAATGTTCTTACCAACCCATTGTGCGTCTTGATCTTGACTGTTCTAATTCCAAAAATTTTGAAAGCTTTCCTGTCCGCCGTTAAAATCGAATCACCTTTCACCTCTTTATAGGAAGAGAAAGAATCCCTACTGGGACATATATGAATGGGACAACCAGAATCAAGAATCCAACTGTCATTAAATGACATACCTGAACACAAGGTTGTCATAAGAACATATTCGTCACTTTCCAAATCACTCGTTGTAGCAGTTGCCACAGAAGCTGCTTCCTGAACCTTTTTTTTGCCATTCCCATTCTTTGTCTTTAGTTTGGAACAATGCTTGATGATGTGCCCTATCTCGTGACAGTAGTAACATTCCAAATTTTTATGAGATATATATTTGCCCCTACTAGCAGAGCCCTTTGTCTCACTTTTGCGTCTTACAAATAGACTCTTGGCCTGTTCATCTTCAATATTTCCATACACCTTTTTCCTCAACTCCTGAGAGTTCAATGATGATTTAATATCTTCCATACTAATAGTATCTTTTCCATAGAGCAACGTGGTAACAAAATGCTCATAGGAAGGAGGCAAAGAACACAACAAAATAAGGGCTTGATCCTCGTCATCAATTTTAATATCAATATTTTTCAAATCCATAATAATAGAATTGAAATTATCAATATGCTCCTTAAGAGGCATACCTTCCTTCATACGAAGAGTGTAGAGTCTCTGTTTTAGGTAAAGTCTGTTAGTGAGAGATTTCGTCATATACAGACTCTCCAATTTCAGTTACAACTTTGCCGCCGTGTCTTCATCAATAACTTCACGCAGCACCTCATCAGTTAAATTCAAAATAATTGCACTGCGCGCCTTTTCATCGACCTCATCCTTGTCTTCATCGGACATAGCTGTTGGCAACTTGTCCTTCCCGAACAACACTTTCTTTAGACCTTGCTAAGTCAGCAGGGCCTGCATCTTAATGCGCCAAAGACTGAAACTAATCTTGCCATCAAATTTCTCAATCTCGTATCTGGTTGACATCTTAAAAAACTTCCCAAAAAAATTTCTCGGCGAATAGTACCGTATTTGTGAACAGTACCCGAATCGTATCTATGAACAGTGTGTGAACAGTATCTGTACACAATATACACGAACCCGAGCTCTGATACTAGTTTGTTATGAAAAAAGGATCAAATAGGAGTTTATGAGAATAAGAGAAAAATAATGACAAGAAAAAAAAATAGGCACACACACAAATGAGACAAGAATTTACGTAGTTCAGCATTGCTTACATCCACGGGGAGAAGACAGAACAATATTTCACTATGGAAATAAAGAGATACAAGGCAAAGTGGCTCACACCCAAAACCTAATTACACCCAAACTCTCTCACCCACTAACTAATATTACAAACTTACTCAATTGATTTGGGATAATTAACATCACGAGGGCACGAGCTATTTATAGCCACAATCTGTCACTAAAATACTTGGTCATCAAGTATATACAAAGTCTGTAGCTGACATTTTCCAATCTTGCTGCCCACGCCTACTTGCTGATCACTCACCTTGGTTAGCAAGTTGATGATGACACAATGGGTGATGCAATTGCTGACCTCATTTGAGCAACAAAAATTCAACAGTTTGTTTGTCATAATTTATAGTGAGATGATGAATGATTCAACGATGAAGTAGTAATTGGGGTGGTACTCCAAAGTATACTATAATTTCTCCATAATTCATTTGAAATGAACTCTCGTTATTTAACTTATTTCAGAAAGAGAAAGAGTTGAAGCAGGAAGCCGGACCATCTGCATGTAAACTTGTGTCTTTATTCTTGAAACCATTTTTTTTTTTTTGATCTTTTTTCTTTTGGGTAACTGATTAAGCCCAATTAAATGCTTTCCTTGTGTGAGAGCAGTTAGGTCTCCTGGCTAGGAAGTGTAATTTTTTTTTTTTACCTAATGAAGATAATGCTCCTGAGGTTACCAATTTTGTTGAACAAGGAGTGGTGCTTAGTTGTCTGTGGATGCATCTTCAAGAAATAGAAATTTCTGGATTTAGGGGGCGCATTGATGAGCTGAGGCTGATAGAGTACATATTTTTTGAGATATGGCAGTGTATTGCATAAGATGACAATTAATTCTTGTAATTCAGAGGAAAAGCAAAAGAGAGAGGAGTTTATCAAGAAACTGCTAATGTTTCCTAGAAGTTCCAGAAACTGTCAAATTATACTCTCTTGAGGAGAACTCTTTCCTGTCAAGTGGGTTCGCAGCTGATTTTGCATCTATTCTCTTTGTATTGAAAGACAATAAAATGGCTTTTGTTGCATTTATTCTGGATGGGACAGTTATTATACTGCACAATGGAATGTCAAATTTGGAAAACTATGGTAAAAAATTTCTATTATCTTGGTTTATTGCTTATTAATGCAATTTATATTAAAATTGAAGCAGCCAACGTGTTTTCTGGTTAAGTAATGCTACATCAGGTATGGTTAGTATCTATGAAGCACGGACACCGACACGAGACACGGGTACGACACGACACCGATATGGTGATACGGCAACATGTTTTCTGGTTAAGTAATGCTACATCAGGTATGGTTAGTATAAGGTATATACATATTACCTATTATAATATAGAACCATACTTTAATGTCAACATTTTCAGTCATAAATCTACTATATTTTGGTTAAAAACTATAGATTAAGAAAAACAAATATATTTACACCCTGATTCAAGTTTCTTGTAACCTTTGCCCTCTCACTTTCTCTTCTCTGTGGTCTCCAAGCCTCTTCTATAGGAGTAGATAACTAGATATTGAATATATCCGACCAATGATAATGAATCATTTTAAAAAAAGTTGTTCTACTATATTTGATTGGTAGGTACACTTATGACGTGGCATGCCGGACCCAGGTTAAAATCAAAATATCTCATTTATCCTATTGAATATTGAGTGGATATTGGATGTGCCAAGTATATCATGTCATTGGTATGTCTAATCAATTCACATGCACCATTCAAATTGGCTGGTTTCACATATTTATATAATAGTGCATTTTGATGCTCTCATCCAACTTGAATGGTACATTTTGATTAATTGGG